TGGGGAGCTTACCCTCCTAACCACAGCCAATATTCCAAATATGCGTCATGAAAGAAAAGTTTCCAGGGGAAACCTAATTTTTAGAGATGACCAGAAGTAATTTCGTTTAAGCAGAGCCACACATCAGGGGCAAAACCTGTTACAAATGGTCAGTTTTTCTAGTATGACCAAATATCAGTCAGAATAAATTTCTAAAGATGAAAGGCCCAATTTCCTGAGCAATTGCAATAGTTTGAGAAGTTTTATGCTTTTTTCTCCAGAAGTCTTCTTTGAAGGAGACACTTTGGACTGCATGCTTGAGCAAGCATGTGTGTATGAGGGTATGTTTAAGATCTCTCTTTTCTTACAGGCACAGCTTATCTGTAAAGGATACTAATAAACTGAAACTCACAGAGGTAGTAATCTCTGAAAATAATTTGAATTTTTTAGCATGTTCAAGTTTTTTCATTTCTTCTCTCCAAGAGACTTTCCTCAGGGGTCGAGTTAGAAATAACTGAACTAAAACTAAGTATACATCTAAAAGAAATGAACACATTTTTCCACAAAGAAATTGGCATACTGATGTTATAGGAGCATTACTCGTAATAGCCAAAAGGTGTGAACTCAAATATGCATCAACTAAGAGATGGATGAACAAAATGGGGTATATCTATGCAGTGGAATACTATTTGTCCATTAAAAGGAACAAAGTAATGATAGAAGGAAGAACCTTGAAAACATTATGCTAAATAAAGACATCAGTCACAAAAGACCACATCCTACAGGATTCCATTAATGTAAAATATCCAGAGCAGGAAGAGTGACAGATAAGCAAAGCAGATTAGTGGTTGCCTAGAGCTGGGGAGCAGGGAGAAGGCTGCGGCTTACAGGATGATAATTAAAGCATACATGTTTCTACGATTAAATAAGAAGTGATTTTATAAACATTAAAGATCTGTGTAAGTATATAATTAGAGTTAAACCACATGAAACTATCTGTTGATGTGACTTCCTAAATAAAATTGTATTTTGCAATAGTTCTACATTTATAGAAAAGTTGCAAATATACTCTAGGGCATTCTCACATCCACTAACATTAAGATTTTACCTAGATCAATGATCAAAACCAGGAAATTTACACTGATCCAACAGTATGAGCTAAACTACAGACCTTATTCAGATGTCACCAGTATTTTCACTAATGTCTTTTATCTGCTCCAGGATTTAATCCAATGTATCATGTTGCATCATTTCAGCAGGTCTTCTCCGTTGCTTGCAATCATAGTCATTTTCTCAGCGTTTGTTTTTCATAACCCAAATCGCTACATCCTTTTATGTAAAAATAGTCAGATATTAGCAGTATCACATGGTTGCACCTAACAGCAGTTAAGTTGCTGCACACCATCTCTGAAGACACAGTTACAATTCATGTTCGCCATGGTCTCCAATAGCAAAAAGCTATGGGGTGGCACTGGGCAGTGATCAGGAGCTGGGGCTCTGAGACCACAGGACAAGGGTTCATATCACAGTTTTATCATTTAACAACTCTGTGATGTTGGACAATTTGACATCTCTGCGCTTAGTTTTCTCATCTGTAAAACAGTTCCCACCTCCATAGGGTTTTTTTGGGGATTCAATGAGATAATACATGAAAAGCATTTAGCCCAGTGCCTGGAGGATAAAAGTATTTGCTGTTGCTATTTATTTTCCTGAATTCCTTACAATGCCTACATTACTATTATCCCAAGTTCCTCCGACTCTCATCAATTCTGTCAAAATCTTGGTGAATATCAGCAAATCAAGAGATGATTTGTGTTTCAGAAAGCAACACACCGAGGCCAGCATTCAGGAAGACCAGTAGCAGTGTGGGGCAAGAAAGATGAGCTAGGCACCTTATTTCATCGATCATGGGGCACACCCTGTACTAGGCATGGCAACATACAACCATACAGAATAGCCATTACAGCTTGTCCGAGCACTGTGCCCTCTCTCAGGGGGCTGTGTCACTGAAATACATATCCATTGCAAGCAGAGCACTGGTCATGACCTGGCAAAAATCAGGTGACCGTGGTTACAGCTGGTGACATTATGAAGCTTCTTCGACATCATTTGGGACTATAAACCATAGGGTGACCTTCAGAATGTCACCTAAATTTGTAAGCTCCATGAATAATAGATGTGTCATAATTCATTAACAGTCTATAGCAAGCTCTGGTCCACACTAATGAAAAAGCACCATTTAGAAAAGAAATGCACAAATTATAAACTGTTTAAGAAAATACTTGATAAACATCTTCACCAAAGTACATTTAACTTTGTCATTTAAGCTGCCTCCTGTGGAGTTTAACTACACCATCAAAAACAGCTATTGCCTATAAAATCGGAAACAAAAGCAATAACATTTTCTATTTGATTCCTGTGAGGCCTGTTCCCTCATCTTCCTAGAAAAAGAATAACCCCGCATTATGTACGTCTCTGGAAGCTTCACCTCTATGTTACGTCTACAAGCTTTCTTCTCATAAAAACTTAATAATAAGTGAAAATAGAAAGGATAGGCAAGGCTTTTTTCTTTCTTTTTAAGACAGGGTCTCACTCTGTTGCCCAAGCTGGAGTGCAGTTATGTGATCATAGCTTACCGCAGCCTCAAACTTGGAGCTCAAGCGATCCTCCTGCTTCAGCCTCCAGAGTAGCTAGGACTCCATGCATGTGCCACTATACCCAGCCATTTTTTTTTTTTTTTTTTTTTTTTTTTTACAGCGACAGGGGTCTTTCTACATTGCCCAAGCTAGTCTCAAACTCCTGGCCTCAAATGATTCTCCACCTTAGGCTCCCAAAGGGGTAAGATTCTAGCCATGAGCCACCATGCCCAGCCTAAGACACTCTTATATTTGCATAATTTTGATAAGCAACCTCATATTATTTTGCTTTGTAGAAAAGGACTATTAAATAGATGATGTGTGATGCTATAATAACAAAATACATTGATCACTAGAAGTCAGTGTAAAGTGTAAATTCATTGCAAATTAGTCAAGACAAGCTTTGTAATTTGATAAGCCTAATACGCAATTAGACTGAGAAATGTTATAGTCAGATAGTGTTTTTATTTCATCAAATAATTTAACAGAGACCCTCATTATATATTTAGTAATACCATGAATAAACTTGGGCTGTGGGATAGTTGTGGTAGATGAATTTACAGCTGGATGGAAGCAAAAAGAGTTCATGGATGTATCTTGGTCAATGAAAAGCCTGACTCTGGGTGATGACCCATGCTGCCCTAGACCTTGTCCAGTGGTCTAAAAGATGACAGCATGTTGGAAGCCTCAGATAACAGCATAGAGGGTATGCTAATTAACTGGTAGATGGCATGACACTGGAAGCAGAGCCCAAAGCACCAGGTTGTATTTGTATCAAATTCAAATAAGAATATTTATCATGCATAATATATTATCTATCTCCCAGTTTGTAAAAAGTAAATCCATTTTTGAAAGATACAATGAGGGAGGCCTGGTTTAAGAAGAGATTATTAGATAATGCCTTGGAACTCAGAGGACCATAAACTCAGTGTGAACTGACAAAGTCACAAGATGTTCAAGAAGACAATTCAAGTATAAGCTTTCTGAATAAAGTCTGGTGTTCAGACCAAAATAAGTAAATATCGTATTTCCTTCTAAAGAGGCCAAATCCAACCCAAGGGAGTATGTCCACATATGGGAACATGTTTTCAAAATTTTTGATTTTCAACCAATTTTAGACTCACAGAAAAGTAGCAAAAGCACTACGGAGAATTCCTATAACCCTCTTTAAAAGCAGCACTTTTTTTTTTTCTTTTCTCTATCTGAACTTATTTGCCTGGTGATCCTGATTTAATGGTTTTCAATAAAAACTATACTCTGATGACTTTAATATTTACCTCTCTGACCCACACATCTCCCTTGAATTTCAATTGCCTGTACGCCATTACCCTTTTGACATCTCCACCGGGATGTCTAGTAGGCATCTAATAGACATGAAAACATCTGACATAAACCTTCTCATCTCCCTATACTGTTCTCCTTCGAGTCTCCTCTCTTTCTTCCTTACTCCATATTCAATTCATGACCTGTTATAAAAATACATTAATAAAATCTGACTACTTTCCACCCTGACACCTTTACCACTTTGGTCCAAGCCATAATTGCACAGAATAGCCTCCTGTCTGGTCTTAGTGCTTCCATTGTTACCTCTCCTGCTCTGTTTACAACACACTGTCCACTGTGATTATGAGATAATGTTATTCCTCTCATAAGATTTTCCACTGGCTTCTGATCTCATTCAACATAAAAGCTCAAATCCTGAAATGGCCGGCGAAGTGTTATACAATCTGGTCTCCTGTTATGTCTCTAACATCATCTTCTACCGCTCACCCCATGTTCACTCCATATAAACACCCATTTTTTCCTTTCATCAGGCCCAGTCTCATCTGAAGGACTTTTTATTTGATTTTCCCTTGGCCCAATATATATTTACCGTAGATATCTATATGGCTCAGTCACTTGTAACTTTCTCATCCTGGCAAAACGAGGTTATTCCTAGCACTGGTATTTAAATTGTAACCTCCCTTTACCCCGTCCCAATTTTCTCTGCAGCACTTATGACCTTCAAACAGATATGCTTGACGTGTTTTGTGTATTGTCTTTGGAGAAGGGATTTTGCCTGTTGTTGTTTCACCACTTCTTTTCCATTACCTAGCATATATTCACCAACAATTTGTTAAATTCAGGAATCAGTGCATCACAGTGATTAAGAAGAGCACGTATTCTACGATCGGACAGCAAGGTCACACGTGCCAAGTCGATTGTTTACAAGCGGCATGGTCTGGGTCAACCATGCAGCTTTGTTCTTTAGTTCTCCACCTGATACATGAGGATAAAAACATGAATTTGAAGGTTTGTTATGAGGATTACATGTGAAGATTCAGGAAATTACATGATACAATGTTTGAAAACCATTAAATGATCACTTAATATTAATTGATTTAAAAAAAAACAATTTTTTAAAGCCAGAGACAATAGACAGCATAAACATAAATATCTAGCTAATAAACTCAGTGTAACCTGGTGCTTTAAGTTCAGAGCATTGGAATCAATTTGATCTGGATATATATATATATATGCTCTTATTATTTAGCTTGGTTTCCTAGAGCAACACAATTAGCCTCTATAAACCCTGGAATCTTTAACTATAAAACTGGAATAATAATCTGCTTTCATCTATACTCTGGAGAGATAAAATGAGATAGAATAGAGCACTTACCAGCATTCTCTGTATCTACTAAAGTGTTGACTAAAGAAATGGTCGTGATTGTTGCAAAATCTGGAATGTCAGATGATGACTGCCCTTTTGGCTTCCCTGTGGCCTTCGTCAATCACTCACCATGTTCCTGTAGCTCAACCTTGCTCCCTAAGGCCAACAGCCCTGTGCCTGGAATCTCACACGTTCTACCTATTCCTTGGAAACTTAGCTGTTGTGAAGGTAACGACCACATCATAATTCTTCTGACATTAGTGACTGGTATAATTGGTTCCTTTATTCAAGAAATGCGCATCAATTACATGTGTGTGCCAGCCTCTGTACTGGGTGTCCCCTAGGCATACCATGGTGAATAAAACCCAGCCCCTATCCACAGGCAGCTCTCATTCTCGTGAAGAATAATGGTACAGAGAGTTAGCCCTCCCAAGGCTTGTTACTAAAAGAGTGAATTTATTATTGTTCATATAGGAGGAATTAACTGGGGATATGGAGATTGGATCAGAGGCCACAGTGGCTAACTATAAATATACCATATCCAGGCTGTGGCCACATGGTACTCTTCTGACTGAGATATCATTAATCACTAAGCAAACCTTCTGTAAGGAACATCAAAGTGCTCATATCCTACCCAACAATCAGGCCTAGCTACTATGAACACTATGGTTATTCTCGCAGCTACTACTAGTACTGTAATTACGTCTACTACTGTAACTAATACTATCTTCATTATTTTTGCAATCCATTGTTTATGATATTGACATTAGTAGCCTAAATCCTCCTTGTTTATCTGTCTCACAATACTGAGCACAGTGTCAATATTTATATTCAGATTATCAAGTATGGGAAGGTCAATTAGCAAAGCTTCATGGCTAAGGAAAGAGGAAATGAAGGGTAGCAGATAGACAGGCATCCATGCATCCTGGTGACATTTCAATTTATCTCCAGCTACTCACAGACTTCCAGTACCGTCACACTAAGTCAGCACTCACTTGTTCAATCTGGGACATTAGAGGTCTCACCAAAACACTATTAATCAATTCTCATGCTACAATCATCCAGAAGAGCACAGGAAAATTTGTCTACATATTAGCCACTAGAGCAGTAGCAGCTTGCAAAATACTTCCGTCTGTGTCCTGGAACTATCATGGGATGAAGACTGGTATTAATATCACAGATTAGTCTAAATCATCTATAATAGCCAGATGTTTTCTTACTGTGCACCAAGATTATAAACATATCTGATTACTTTGTTGTTCTTTATCTGGGCATATCAGATGGCCTGGTGTTATGTTTAAGCAGCAAGGCCATGTGGAACAGCTCTAACCTCAGGCAAGAAGCCCACGCACAGACAAGATCTCTAAAGAGCAAATTGCCAAAGTAAAGCTCACAGATGACTTGGTCCACTGTGACAATGGATAAGCTAGCCATCACCATAATTTGTAAGTATCCTTGCTGGTTTCATTTTTCAGTTTCTCTTACTCACCAGCCTGACCTGGACATTTCCACAGTTTAGGGGAGAAAAAGGGAAGCTACGTAAGCTCAATTGTTCACTCTGTTTTCTAGACATATATATATGTATTTATATATTGACTTTCCCCTCTATTTTCCACAGTAATTATTACACTCATTCATTCAACAAAAAGAGAAAGATGGATTTACAGAGAAAGAGAAAGTATTAAGTTCCCACGAAATGACTAGCCCCGTGCAACAACAGTGCCATGATCACACAGTTTATTTTCTACCACTATCTAAGAAGCTTGATGGAATTTCCTCATGCTATGCATCTGAATCCTAGTTCTGCTACATCATTGAAGCTATATTATATAGTGGCAAAATTAATTTTTTTCTGTTTTTTCATCTAAATAATGTTTCCAAAATAAGTAAAATAGCCTGTGGAGAGTACCTAGAAGTTGACGTATAATCCATGCTTTCCAAGTGACGTGTGTTATTATGCAAAAGTTAGATCTTCCAAATTTCATGGCCCTTATCAGCAACATCTTCCATTTATTGCCACAACTAAATCTTATTTGTCCTATTTATGAGTTTCTTGGTATGCTGCTGCATTTTCTGTTCAGTCTGATACAAGTTGACTCATCATAATCTGAAAATCCAAAATCCAAATTCTCAAAATTTAAAACATCGTGTGGGCTGACAGATTCAAAGGAAATGCTCATTGGAGTACTGTGGATTTGGAATTTTCATATTTGGGAGGGTCAACCAGTAAGTGTAATGCAAATGTCCCAAAATCTGAAAAAATTCCAAAATCTGAAACACTTCTGGTCCCAAACATTTCAAATAATAGATTCTCCACCTTATTAATGTTTAGTATGGCTTTGAGTAATGTGCCTAGATCTAGCTCCTCTCATACCCTAGAGAATGCCTACCACACAGGGATTCTTTGAGTGGGGGAGGAAATAAATTGCTACACCAAATGGGACTACATTAAATTCTAAGTGTGCAACATTTTGGGCAAAGATTTTATTTCTTTTGTTTTTTGCAAGATACCTTACTGCAGAGTGCATCTTCTCAGAAATATTTTTGTAGATCCCTGAATAAAAATGTCTAATTAGGCTGGGTACAGTGACTCACACTTGTAATCCCAGCACTTTGGGAGGCTGAGGCAGTCAGATCCCTTGTGGTCAGTCTGGTCAACATGGTGAAACCCTGTCTCTACTAAAAATACAAAAATTAGCTGAGCATGGCGGAGGGCACCTATAGTCCCAGCTCCTTGGGAGGCTGAGGCAGTAGAATCACCTTGAACCCAGGAGAGAGAGGTTGCAGTGAGGGGAGATCGTGCCACTGCAGTCCAGCTGGGCAACAGAATGAGACTCTGTCTAAAAAAAAAAAAAAAAAAAAAAGTCTAATTATGAGTTTTCAAAATAAAAATCATAAAATTCTAGAGCAAAAGAGCATAAAAACTAGCTTAACCTTAGGTGATTGGGATTCTGAAAGGGATCTGGGTTTGTAAGCCTGAATTGTATTTAAGAGTCTACAGCCAGTTGACATGAACTGTGGCCTTGTGGTGAACCTTCCTTGGTCTGACTGCTAGCATCTATGCCCTCGGCTCAGCACCACTGGTGGAGGAACTCCTGGTTTCAAGTTTGAGCCTGACCCCTTCCATAGCTGGTTCATTTGGCTTAATGTTCAGTCCTAAGCTTTTAACTGACCTTACATTTCCAAATTGGCACCAAAAGTGAGCCCCCTCTGTTCAACACTCAGTTGCCTTAGATAAACCTTGCTAACTAGGTTGCAGTGTTGGTCTGTGTGAGCCTTAGACTCAGCAGATCTAAAACTGTCAACACAAGGTCAGTGGAAAGTAATGGGTATAGATGTGCTTACTAAATCAGATGCCCCAATACGCAGACCCAAGAAGAACTGATATTTGTTGTAATAGATATCCCTCAGGTCATGGATGCATGGAATCAGTCACCATCACTCAACTGAAAAGCCATTAAATATGGCATAAGGTGTTGCATACCAGGCAGTGTGTCTTGGATTTTACTGTGTCATATCTGCAGTACTCACGGAAATTCTGGATATGTCTATTTCTTCCTAATTGCCAAAGTTTTTGACATTCCTTTATCCCTGTAATCTCAATGTTCTTGATTGTTATCATTTATGTTTATTTTCATATTGACATGTAATTTATTGGCATCTCAAATTGTAAGATTATGTGAAAAAGAGAGAGAGATAAAAAACAGATAATGTATGTACTCATTACAGATGCCTCAAATCATTGAGAGATCATGCAGGGTATGAACAAGCAAACAAACAAATAAATGTCAAACACGATACAAATAAGAACATCCTTTACACAAGTAGCAAAATATCTACTTTTATATTTTGGTTCAACAACTTATTCTAGATACATATATTAATGCAGCAATGCCAGACAGAGTTCCCTATCCTAGAAGAATGGGAAGATACAGGGCAGACATCACTTACTCACTTTGCACTCCCTCTGATACTACTCAAACTCAAGTTAGAGAGAAATTTATAATACCTGATGTTAGTGAATAAACCCTATTCACTTAACTGAGAGCTTATAATATCTGAGCACTCTACTTGTACAGGATGCAAATGGGTAATGAGGCAGTCAGATGAACTCAGTGTACCTTTGATTATATCCAAACCTTGCTGCACTTGAATCTACCAATTCTATAATGAAAAATGATGAGCCCATCATAAGCTGTATTCTACAGCCTCAGAAAATTTCCCATATTTTTAATAACAAAGATTCTATTTCCACTGAATTCATGATTTTCTAGTAAAATATTACTATAACCTCAGAAAATATTTTACATTTCTAAATATTCCTCTATTATCTACAACCATAAGCTATTTATTTTTTCCAAATGAAACCCTTCATGTTTAGAAGATAAGCATCAGATTTAATATAAATGTCTCATTAAAAAATATCATGTATTTATGCTAAAAACACTCAATAAGCTAGGTATCAATGGAACGTATCTCAAAATAATAAAAGCTATTTATGACAAACCAACAGCCAATATCATACTGAATGGGCAAAAACTGGAAGCATTCCCCTTGAAATGTGGCACCAGACAAGGATGCCCACTCTCACCACTGCTATTCAATATAGTATTAGAAGTTCTAGCCAGAGCAATCAGGCAAGAAAAAGAAATAAAGGGCATTCAAATAGGAAAGGAGGAAGTCAAATTGTCTCTATTTGCAGACGACATGATTGTATATCTAGAAGACTCCATCATCTCAGCCCCAAACCTCCTGAAACTGATAAGCAAGTTCAGCAAAGTCTCAGGATACAAAATCAATGTACAAAAATCACATGCATTCCTATACACCAGTAACAGACTTAAAGAGAGCCAAATCAAGAACAAACTTCCATTCACAATTGCCACAAAGAGAATAAAATACCTAGGAATACAACTAACAAGGAATGTAAAGGACCTCTTCAAGGAGAACTACAAGCCACTGCTCAACGAAATAAGAGAGGACACAAACAGATGGAGAAACATCCCATGTTCATGGTTAGGAAGAATCAATATCGTGAAAATGGCCATACTGCCCAAAGTAATTTACAGATTCAATGCTATCCCCATCAAGCTACCAATGACCTTCTTCGCAGAACTGGAAAAAACCACCTTAAACTTCATATGGAACCAAAAGAGAGCCCGCATAGCCAAGTCAATTCTAAGCAAAAAGAACAAAGCGGGGGGCATCACAATACCAGACTTCAAACTATACTACAAGGCTACGGTAATCAAAACAGCATGGTACTGGTACCAAAACAGAGATATAGACCAATGGAACAGAACAGAGGTCTCGGAGGCAACACAACCTTTCTACAATCATCTGATCTTTGACCAACCAAACAAAAACAAGCAATGGGGAAAGGATTCCCTGTTCAATAAATGGTGTTGGGAAAGCTGGCTAGCCATGTGCAGAAAGCAGAAACTGGACCCCTTCCTGACACCTTACACTAAAATTAACTCCAGATGGATTAAAGACTTAAACATAAGACCTAACACCATAAAAACCCTAGAAGAAAATCTAGGCAAAACCATTCAGGACATAGGTGTAAGCAAGGACTTCATGACCAAAACGCCAAACGCATTGACAACAAAAGCCAAAATAGACAAATGGGACCTAATCAAACTCCACAGCTTCTGCACAGCAAAAGAAACAATCATTAGAGTGAATCGGCAACCAACAGATTGGGAAAAAATTTTTGCGGTTTACCCATCTGACAAAGGGCTGATATCCAAAATTTACAAAGAACTAAAGCAGATTTACAAGAAAAAAACTAACAAGCCCATTCAAAAGTGGGCAAAGGATATGAACAGACACTTCTCAAAAGAAGACATACGTGAGGCCAACAAACATATGAAAAAATGCTCATCATCACTGGTCATCAGAGAAATGCAAATCAAAACTACATTGAGATACCATCTCACGCCGGTTAGAATGGCGATCATTAAAAAATCTGGAGACAACAGATGCTGGAGAGGATGTGGAGAAATAGGAACACTTTTGCACTGTTGGTGGGAGTGTAAATTAGTTCAACCATTGTGGAAGACAGTGTGGCGATTCCTCAAGGACCTAGAAATAGAAATTCCATTTGACCCAGCAATCCCATTACTGGGTATACATCCAAAGGATTACAAATCGTTCTACTATAAGGACACGTGTACACGAATGTTCATTGCAGCACTGTTTACAATAGCAAAGACCTGGAACCAACCCAAATGCCCTTCGACGATAGACTGGATAGGGAAAATGTGGCACATATACACCATGGAATATTATGCAGCCATCAAAAATGATGAATTTGTGTCCTTTGTAGGGACATGGATGAACCTGGAAACCATCATTCTCAGCAAACTGACAGAAGAGCAGAAGATCAAACACCGCATGTTCTCACTCATAGGCGGGTGTTGAACAATGAGAACACATGGACACAGGGAGGGGAGCACTACACACTGGGGTCAGTTGGGGGCAAATAGGGGAGGGACGGTGGGGGGTGGGAAGCTGGGGAGGGATAGCAGGGGGAGAAATGCCAGGTGTAGGTGATGGGGAGGAAGGCAGCAAATCACACTGCCACGTGTGTTCCTATGCAACAATTTTGCATGTTCTTCACATGTACCCCAAAACCTAAAATGCAATAAAACAAATAAATGGGAAAAAAAAATCATGTAAAACCACCAGTTCAAATAAAAATAGTTAATTTTTTGATATTAAAGTATTTTATTTAATTACAAAAAACAATAATTACTTTTCATCATCAATATTATAAAGTTTCAATTCTAACATCTCTGTGTATAGTGTGTGTGAATTTACATGTGTATAAATTTGCAATATACACATGCAAATTTATACACATGTAAATTCACATGTGTATATACACATGCAAATTTAAATATAGATAGGTATATTAATGATAGATTGATACAAATTTTTTTTAAATTGCAATCATATAACATGCTATCTTCAATAAACAATGTTAAGACTTATGCTTTATTTTATTTCAAAGCTGTAATATCCATAATTGTTTATTATATATTTCTTTATTGATGTTTTAGGTGCTGACTACCTTTTTCACATACCACATTCCTATAACATTTCAGAGTTTCTCATATTGCTTTATCTTGTCTAAGAATAGTTTTCTGAAGATGAATAGTGGCAAACATTTTCTTGATTTTTTTTTTTACAAATTTTGTGTACAATATACAAATATTGTCTCCCTGTTCCCTAAATGATATCTTGCCTAAATATATATTATTTTGTATCCCATTTTCTTTTCCTCTGATATGTGTAGATATTTTCTCCTTTTTTTCTGTGTGTGAGACGGAGACTTGCAAGCTCTGTCACCCAGGCTGGAGTACAGTGGTGCTATCTCCGCTCACTGCAATCTCCGCCTGCAAACTCCAACTCCTGGGTTCAAGCAATTCTCCTGCCTCAGCCTCCTGAGTAGCTGTGACTACAGGTGCATGCCACCACACCCGGCTAATTTTTTGTATTTTTAGTAGAGACAAGGTTTCACCATGTTAGCCAGGATGGTCTCGATATCCTAACCTCCTGATCCGCCTGCCCTGGCCTCCCAAAGTGCTGGGGTTACAGGCATGAGCCACGGCGTCCAGCCAATATTTTCTCCTTTTTAAGACCAACATGTTAAAATAGAGATGACAGGAGCTGGCCCAATATTCTCCTATTAAGTGGTCAGCATCTCATGGCCTTATAGCTAACACTCTTTAGTGTTTTTTTAATTTTTTTTTTTTTCTTGAGATGGAGTTTCACTCTTGTTGCCCAGGCTGGAGTGCAATGGCGCAATCTCAGCTCACCGGAACCTCAGCCTCCCGGGTTCAAGCGATTCTCCTACCTCAGCCTCCCAAGTAGCCAGGATTACAGGCATGTGCCACCACATCCAGCTAATTTTGTATTTTTAGTAGAGACGAGGTATTTTTAGTAGAGACGGGGTTTCTCCATGTTGGTCAGGCTGGTCTCAAACTCCTGACCTCAGGTGATCTGCCCCCCTCAGCCTCCCAAAGTGCTGGGATTACAGGCATGAGCCACCACGTCCAGCAACTTTCTTTAATTTATAAGTTTAATATCCTAACCTGGGCTTCTGCTGTGTCCAAAATGCTATAAGCTTGCTATTGCCAGCCTCTCTCACTGATTATGGCTAAAATCTCTGGGCAGAAATAGAAAAAGAAAATTAATTCTCAAAAGTAAATATTGGCATGCAAATGAGAGACAAAAGTCAAAAAAAAAACTGAAGAACAAGCAGTATGAGGGAAAGTGTAAAAGTCAAAAAAAAAAAAACTGAAGAACAAGCAGTATGAGGGAAAGTGTAAAAGTCAAAAAAAAAAAAAAAACTGAAGAACAAGCAGTATGAGGGAAAGTGTATTGTTTTTTACTATTTCCTTTGACACCCAACATTGGCATGAGGGTGGACTGAATAAAAACACGTGTAGCAGGTATAAAAATAAAAATTTTTAAAAAGCAGGAGAAAAATCTTTCCAGTATATCATTAGGAAAGGGGGCTCCCATGAACCACAGAGTGTGAGGGAAATCCCTATTTATTTGTTTGTTTGTTTATCTTTTCCCACTGCTTTTTTCTCTCCTTATCTTTGCAGGTTGCAAAATGCACTCCTGTGATGATAATGGTAGTTGGCAACCCAGGCACCTAAAAGCCAAAGGAAAAAAAAACATCTCTTTGGCCTCAGAACTGGAAGAGGCCCTTGAGAGCTGCAGACTTTGAGGTGAATCTTGGAGCAGAGAGAGCTAGAGACAAGAATTGCTTAATTCTGTGTATAAACTGACAGAATTTCTGGGCTCACTGCTAAGTACAACATGCATGTCATAGATTCAAGGAAGCATGTCAAAGGCTTTAAAAGTAAAAATATGATATAAAATACCACCTAAATTTCAGAATAACACACAAGTGATGTATTTTCAGGACAGTCAAATATAGTATAACAAAGGTTTTAAGACATAACTGACATTGGATCAACTGTCCACAGAATATGAGACAACACTCACAGTCCAAACCTAAGTTGATTGTTTGCTTTTAAAACAAGCAATATCTTTCAGAGGATTTTTGAAAGATCCATAATGTCACAGTATGTTCAGGACTCAATCCAAAATTACTTGAATCTACCAATTCTATACAAAGAATAAAAACATCATAACCAAATGTCTAAAGAGAGCCACAAAAAATGGCATATTACGTATAAAGGAATAAAAAATCATGACTCTGAATTTTTCATCGGAAACGATGGAGTCAGGAAGACCATAAAACAATATACTTAAAGTGCTGAAGAAAAGATCAGCCCAGAATACTAAACCCAATGAAAATATTCTTAAGTAAAGAAGACAAAACAAAGATATTCTTAGATAAAGAGAGTCTGAAATCATTCCTCAAGAGTAAATCTGTTCTGAAAGAAATGCTGATAGAAGTACTTCAGATGGAAGAAAAGTCATATTAGCAAGAAGCTTCAAACTTCTAAAATGAAGGCAGAACAATAGAAAATAGTAAATATCAAATAAATATAGTAAACTGTTTTCTCTGATTTTAATGTGTATTAGTGAGAAAGTTAAAATAAAAATATGTGGTGGAGTTTTCAATTTATATAGATAGAATATTTATTACAATTTAAGATAAAGGGGAAAATAAAAACCTATATGGTTGGAAGGCATCCTGATTTTGTTTGCAGTAAAAATAATATATATATTAAATTTTAAGTACACTGTGAAAAGTTAGACATTTATATTTATATAAAGTAACAGCATATAAACACATACGCATACTGTGTATATTTATTTGTGTGTATAATATATAATACATATCATAAAAAGCCAATAATTATATTAAAACAGCATGATAAAAATAGTTAAATGATGTCCTCAAAAAGCAGAAAAGTGGGAACACCGGAAGAAAAATGGAAGGGAAAAAATCAATCTAATAAAAAAGCTAAGCCTAAATACAGCCTTGTCAATAATTACTGTATGTAAATGATCTAACAACAATAAATGAACAAAATGGATCGTCAGACTTCATTTAAAAGAAGACCCAACTATGCAATGTCTTTAAGAAATGCACTTTAAATATAAAACATGGATGGGTTAAAAGTAAAATAAAGGGAAAAGTTAAACTAAATAAACAGAAATCCAAAGAAAGACCGAAAAGCTCTATCAATATCAGACAAATTTCACCATAGAATAGAAAAATTACCAGGGATATAGATGGCCACTGCTTGATGAATAAAAGGGTCAATTCTCTAAGAAGACATTACATTCATGTGTGTGTGTGTGTGTGTGTGTGTGTGTATCTAAATACACACACACACATTTCATTTCATTTGTGTGCGTGTGTGTGTACAGAACTTTAAAATAAACAAGGCAAAAACTGATAGAAATGGAAGGAGATATAGAAAAGTCCCAAATTATTCTTGAAGATTTCAAAACTTCTCTCTCACTAATCCATACAACAAATAGACAGAAAATCAGCAACAATATGGGAGACTTGAACAACAGTATCAACCACATTGATGTAAATGGCACTTATAAAACAATCCAACAGTAAATAGACATTTTTAAGTATCCATGAAATAGTCTCCTAGATAGACCATACCCTTGCTTATAAAACAAATTTAAAAGAATTAGCAAATTTAAAAGAATCAAACTCATATAACGTATGATCTTTAAGCATAACAGAGTTGAACTGTAAATCAATTACATAAAAAATCACTGGTAATTCCACAAGTATTTAGAAACTAACACATCTCTAAATAATTAATGGGTCAAGTAAGACATCCAAAATGAAACCACAACGTATTTTGATAAAATCTAAAGTAAAATAAGATCTATCAAGACATGTGGGGCAGCTAAATTAATATTTACAGAAAATTTACAGCATTGAGTCATATCAGAAAATAAGAAAGCCCCAAAATAAACAACCTAAGTTACTGTCACAAGAAACTAGAGGAGCAAATTAGGCTTAAAGCAAGCAGAAGGAAATACATAATAAACATATCAATGGTGTCAATAGTAAGTTGATATTAATGAAATAGAAAACTGAACAGCAAGAGAAAATCAATTAAATCAAAAGCTGCTTTAATTGAAAAATAATAAAGTTGATGAAGCTCTAGACAGATCAACAAAAGCAAAGAGAGTTATCACAAATATCAATATCAAGAACACAAGAGGAATACCATTATAGACCTCACAGACATTAAAAGAACAATAGTAAGAGAATAATACAAATAATTCCATGCCTATAGAGGAAATGTGTCAATTCCTTGAGTAAGACAAATTAGCAAAACTTAAGAATAAATAATCTGAAGAGTTCTATATCTATAAAAAAATTAATATCTGTTAAAAATATTCCAACAACTAAAACTCCAGACCTTGATCATTTCACTGGAGCATTCTAACAATTTAAAGAACAAATGGTAACAATTCCACATATTCTCTTTTAAGGCACTTCTCAATTTTATGAGACCAGAAAAATCTTCCTAATAAAAAAGGACAAAGGCATTGTAATAAAAGAAAATGACAGACCAATATTCTCTCTCCCTCCTGTCTCTCTCTTTCTCCTCTCCTTCTATCTCTCACTCCCACTTTCACTCTTGCTCTCTCTCTCTCTGTATGTTTTGCTCTGGTTTTCACTTTAGCTTTCTCTTAAGAGGGGAGGACAGATTTTGTGACAGCAGCCCCTAGAGAAATTCTGAGTTTTGATGTTGAAAGTCCTTTCCTACAAGGTACCCCTTAACACAGATTGCATGTGCAGAGGGACATCTGATTCTCACTCACTATATCACCCCATGGGGGCTCAATGAACAGCACTAAGATGCTGCTCTGGCTGTTTTTGCCAAGAGCAATAAGCTGTCTGCTTTTCTGATCCAGAAAGCCTCATGTCTCATATATAGATGTCATAGAAAATGTGTGCATGTATATATATCTGCAGCAGACTACATTGTTAGCTCACAATAGGATAAGATCTCAGATTTTTTTCAGTTTCAGACTTAACAATAACTACTTTCAAAATGAAATGATAAGGAAACAAATGACCCAATTAAAAATGGACATAAACAGAGACTTTATCAAAGAATACCTACTGATGGAAAATAAGCACAAAAATGTGTTCAACATCATTATTCATTAGGCAAATGTAAATTAAAACCACAAGATACAACCACACATGTATTAGAATGGCTAAAATTTAAAAAAAGGAACAAAAACGTCTGATCCTACCAAGTGATGTCAAGAATGCAGCACAATAAGAACTCTCACTCATTGCTGATGGGGACGCCAAATAGTATGGCAGTTTCTCATAAAGTTAAACATGCATGTATCATATGACCCAGCAATTCCACTCCTAGGTCTTTACCTAAGATAAATCAAACTGTATGTTCACACAAAAACCAGTATGCTAATGTGCATAGAAGCTTTACATATATGTGTGTGCATATACATATATATCACAGATATATATATATATGTATATATACACATATCTAGAAATGTGTGTGTCCATGTGTCTATGCGTGTAATCATCTGAAAATTGAAAATAACAACATCTTTCAACAAGGGAACAGATACACAAATTATGAAACAAACATACAACTGAATAACACTGAACAAAAATATGAAGAAATATTAATAAATTAAAGGATGATTCTCAAATATATTATGCTAAGTGAAAGAACTCAGACTCAAGAGTATTCATTTTCATTCATACAGCATTCTGAAAAAGTCAAAATTGTAGGAACAGATAGCAAAACTATATGAACAGGGTTGCCAAAGATTGAAAAAACAGGTAAGAATTAACTATAAATTGGCAACATAAAAGAAATTTGGGATGAGTAAATTGTTCTGTATCCAATTGTGGTGGTAGTTACTCTGCATTCGTCAAAACTGAGAAAACTGCACATCAAAAAAGGAATTTTACTGTATGTAAATTTTAAAAAATATTTTTAAAGCTGTGCAAAGAAAATATTCTAACTAGGCATTATCTTGGGATAAATCGGGGCTTATTCTATTATATTTTAATCCCTTTTGAAATTTCATATGTAGGCTTTTCTGTCTCATAGGCAACGGATATTATGTTGGCTCATCTTTCTAAGCTCTGAAAAACTATCATCTTTTATCTCTTTGCTTTATGTTTTTCTTGTCTGTTCATTGGCTGTGGTTATACATGCCTGTCTTCCATAAAAATAAGTAAATTTTCAGTTTTATTTGTTCTATAAGCTTGTCAATTTTACTTATTTGTTTTGAGATTGTATTGCCTTGGTCTTCAATATTTTTTGTTCAAGCTTTTCACTGTCTTTGTTCATCTCTTCTTCTTGGTGGACTCTTTTTTGGTGGCTGACAGGGGCTCCAATTTAACTCATGTTTTTTTATTTTTATTTTTATTTTTATTTTAGACAACAGTCTCACTCTGCCACCAGGCTGGAGTGCAGTGAAGTGCAGTGGCATGATCTCTGCTCACTGCAGCCTCTGCCTCTGAGCTTCAAGCGATCCTCCTGCCTCAGCATCTAGAGTAGCTGGGACTACAGGCACACGCCACCACGCCCAGCTAATTTTTTGTATTTTTAGTAGAACAGGGTTTCACCATGTTGGCCAGGATGGTCTCAATCTACCCTCATGATCCCCCCGCCTCAGCCTCCCAAAGTGCTGGGATTACAGGCATGAGCCACCATGCCCAGCCATGTTCATGTTATTTTTTTTAGTATAAAGTACTGAGAATATTCTTCTGTCTCAGGTTACATTTTCTTCCAGATTCCTTGCTATGTTGTATCAATTTTTTCCTGCCCACCTACCTACTGGCTTGAATTACCATTATAGTTTCCATTCTGTTATTTTTCATCTTGCCAATGCTGTCCAGATTTTCACTTTTATGACATTATGCAGGTCAGTTTCTTAAGTCTCTCTACTTATTTGCATATGAGACTTAATTGTTTTTCCCTACCAGCTACATTTTGAAGGCTGAACATTTCTTGAGGATTCCCCACGTTGAAGTGCTCAGTTTATGGCAAATTCATTCATGGCTGGCATACCTTGGCTCTGGCTCTGCTCCCTTTTTGAGAATTCGTTTAATTTGCTGTGCAGGGTTCACTCTGCTTAGTACTGAGAGGTAGCACGTTCCCAGAGAGGGAAGAGGGAGTTCAGGTTTAACACCATTCCTGTTAGCCCTGGAGAACCTGCTGCATTCACAGAGAATTACCCTCTGGTTCCTGTTTCCCACTTCACTGGTTCTTTCCCAGCAGCTAGTTCAGGTCAGCTTGGGATACCAATGATTTCACTTGACTTCATATTTGGGAATATTGGTGAGAGTTCTCAGACTCTAGTGAACTAGAGCAATCAGGTGAGGAATAGGATTGATGGCTCAACCATCTATCTGTTTCCCTGATCAGCAATTGTTAAAATGTATAGCATTGCTTTCTGCCGCCGGGTAGCCTTCTTGATTTAGCTGATGCTAGCAATAGTCATGTGGACTTCTAGCTTTCCTGTATTTATTTTATTAGTGATTAGGTAAAGAGAATATTGCAATCGAGGTCCCCTACATCATCTTTACAAATAAAATGCTGTTTTTCTTTTTCTTTTTGGTTAAACAATATAGAAAGTTTATTTCTCTCCATGTAAAAGTACAGAAGCATAAGGTCCAGGGCTCTTAGGTTAGTTAGCATTTTTCTATTAAGGCTAAGTCTCCTTAAAGAAACAGCTTGGGTATCCTTAAGGTGTAGTTATAGCCTTCATCCTCAGGTTCCCAAGAGCATCCTCACACAGAAGGACATGCGAAAGCTTCTAGGAAAAGGAGCCAAGGGAAAGCTCCAGCTCTTTCATTAAAAAAAAAAGTATAAATATATGGAGCACAAGTACAGTTATGCTACATGAATATATTCCATAGTGGTGAAGTCTGGGCTTTTAGTGTTAACTATCCCCCAAATAACGTATATTGTAACCATTAGGTAATTTCACAGCCCTCAACCCCTTCTCACTCTTCTGAGTTTCCAATGTCTATTATTCCAAACTCTATGTCCATTTCTACAAATTATTTAGCTCCCACTTATGCATGAGAACATTTGACTTTCTGTTTCTGAGCTGTTTTACTTAAGATAATGACCTCTAATCCCATCTATTAATATGTCTCTGAATCAAATCATAGATCTACTTCTAATTCTCTGAGACATCTTCATATTTTTTTCCATAGAGATTACACTAATTTACATTCCCACCAACAGTGTACAAGTGTTCCTATTTTGCGCATGCTCATCAACATCTGTTATTTTTTGACTTTTTAATAATAGTCATTCTGATGCTGTAAGATGATGTCTCATTGTGTTTTT